GGCTTGAATTTCTTTTCAGCCATTGTCTTAGCCGGGTGCCCTTGGCAACTCACTTAATCCCTCTTGTCTCTGCATGTGTACAAGGGAAATCACTGTAGTTCCTATCTCTCTGGGTTACGGTAGGAAAGTTATATATGCAGGCCAGGACTGGCATCTAGAATAAACTCAATAAAAAGAATCGCTGTTGTCCTTGTTACTCAGTATTCACTGTAAGGTTGGAATTTACATATGAGGAGGGAAATAAAAAACAGAGCCATAATCTTACCTTCCAGAGCTAACTGTGGTTAACTTTCAAAGGTTCGTGAATTTAATTACTCGACATGATCTGGAAAATCATTTTACAAGACCTGGTGTTGGCTTATTGGGATGCATGACCAGCCACCAAATGTGGGAAGGGTTGTGACAGGGAGAGGCGGAGACATTCTCTGAGGCGCCAAAGAACCTCCAGAAGCAAGTGTTACAATGAGAGCTGTCCAGCACCGAGATGGGCTGCCCGGCTCCATGGGGAGCTCCTTGTTATAACAAATAATACTCTTGGCTGGTGACCATTTGTCAGAACTGCCAGTATTGGCAGCTAAGCTATTTAAAACTTTCCCTAATGCTAATATTTTATGACTGAGAAACACTTGCTGAGTGTACACATACATTAGACTCACCGTCCTCTTAAGACAAACAATGTGGTTCTTGCTATAATACTGGGCGGGAAGGACGGTTCTAAATTCATCCCGTGACAATCAAAAGGAAATTCCTGGCATAGGTCAGGTAGAGGGCCTCTCCCTCATACAAAACTGAGGACTTGCAATTCCACCGGTTAATCTAAATTCAATGTGGAGAATGAAATCAAAGAGTGGGTGGGCCTGAAAAAGGATTACATCTTACCTTCAGGTGCTGTTTGTCTGCTTTCTTAGTACTCATGGTCTCTCCCTGGAAAAATTCCTGATCTGGCAGAAATTCACAGTAATTTCCCAGGGGAAACGGGAAAGAACATGGTGCTGGTGGGAAAGGAGGCTAAAGGTCTATGTAAGAACTAGCCAGGTGCTTTTGATGTCTGATCAATTATTATTATATTATGCTTCCTGATACAGATGTAGCTACAACCTCTTAACAGGATGTTTAAAAAGATTAAAGAGAAGCTGTAGTGGGGGTCTGAGGTGATAAGAATCCCTAGAATATGTATTTTTGGACATTTAGAGTATAAGTTCCTGTACATTCTTAAAATAAACCCTCTTTGTTTTTCTGTTTTTTGGGTGTGTGTTTTTTTTTAAGAAACAAGCAAAATTTGTATCCCAATATGGCTGCTTCCTGCCCACAGTGATATAGAAATAAGAAGCAAAGAGAGGTGGTGGTGGTTCAATCATGCTGGCTTTTTAAAAAATATATATATATTTTATTGATTTTTTACAGAGAGAAAGAGAGAGGGATAGAGAGTTAGAAACATCAATGAGAGAGAATCATCGATCAGCTGCCTCTTGCACACCCCCTACTGGGGATGTGCCCACAACCAAGGTACATGCCCTTGACCGGAATCGAACCTGGGACCTTTCAGTCGGCAGACCAACACTCTATCCACTGAGCCAAACCGGTTTTGGCTATGCTGGCTTTTAATCAGCTTTGACCTTTGTCCCTATATTAGCTAATATCTTATCCCCACATTAGAAAAAATATTTGGATTTATTTAGATAAAACCTGTTCATCAGAAAATGGATTATTCTGGAATTTGTGACCTCAATGACTCAATGTAAAGTTAAAGAAACAAACAATTTTGGGTGCCCTCTCCCTCCTGGGAGCAAGCTCCAGCCATTTCCTTTCCCCTTCTCTTCCCCCATAGGCACATGTCTCCTAAACCCTAAGGGACCCCATGAGATTTACAACCAGGGGAGCAGTGGGCAGCAACAGCTCATCCAGGGCTAACTGCCTGAACCTGTCGCCAAGGTACTCTTTTCTCTGTCTTCTCAGTGAGCCAAAACAGCCCCAGCAAGATGCATTTCTTTCCTACAGCATTTCTAGAGAGTGAAAGCAGCCCCGCCTAGGCTCCCTCCTGTTACTTCTTCTATCCTAAACCCTTGCTTCACTGTCTCCAGCTTTAATAAATGTACTCGAAGGAGAGGAGGGAGGGAGGGAGGGAGGGAGGGAGGGAGGGAGGGAGGGAGGAAGAAAGAGTTTTTGGTAGAGGAGTTTGTGGAATTGAAGTTGGTATGGACTGCACTGACTTAGGGTTAGGGGAGTGTTCTCAAACACAGGGAATGACTCACTGGTATGTAAGACTTCCTGCCATGTGGGCTGCTTATCTTGACTCACACCATACATTTTCACTGGTATCCAATAATAGCATTTGGAGGTATGTTCTCAGAACTCCTGACATGAGGCATGAATAAGCTGCTTGTTACTTCCAATTCTTTTTTTCTAGAAACTTAGGCCAATGCCTAGTGTGTGCTTGTACACGGTCTCTCTTTAAAGACTCTCTTGGTGCATGTATCTATTTATTTATTTATTTTTTTTCTGAAATGTTTTGTCTTTGAGAATAAGCTGCAGACATGAAGCCCTTTTTCCTACTTCAGTGTGTATTTCCTAAAAACAAGAGCAATTCTCTTTCATAACCATAGTATAATTATAAAAATTATGTCACTGCTGATTCAATGATATTACCTAAACTACAGACCTCATTCAAATTTTGCAATTTCCCCCAAAATATCCAATATAATAGAAGAAAATGACAGATCATGTCATGCATTCAGTTGTCAAGTTAACATTGTCTCCATCTCCATTAACCTGGAATAGATTTTCCACACTTTGTCACCTCTCCTGACCTTGGCGTATTTGAAGAGTTACAGGCCAGTGTTTTGTAGAGCTTTCTCAACTTGGGATGTCTGTATTTCTTCATGATTAGATTCAGGCTATGCATTCTTAGCAGGAATACCACAGCAGTGATGCTGTGGTGTCGGCACACAGTATCAGGAGGTGATTTGTTCCATTACTGTTGAAATTACCTTTCATGACTCGGTTAAGATAGTGCCAGTCAGGTTCCTGCACTTTAAATTACTATTTTGCACTTGAGATCTTGCTTCCCAGAATATTTAATGAGTTTAGCTCAAATAAACTCTTTTTTTAAAAATATATTTTATTTATTTTTTTACAGAGAGGAAAGGGAGAGGGATAGAGAGTTAGAAACATCAATGAGAGAGAAACATCAATCAGCTGCCTCCTGCACACCTCCCATTGGGGATGTGACCACAACCAAGGTACATGCCCTTGACAGGAATCGAACCTGGGACCTTTCAGTCCGAAGGCTGATGTTCTATCCACCAAGCCAAACCGGTTTTGGCTCAAATAAACTCTTAAAAAAATAAAATAAAATAATAATTTTTTCATTTTATTGTTAAAAAGTAGCTTGTGGGGAGACTCTGTAAATATTCTGATTCTCATCAAACTTCACCCACTAGCTTTAGTACCCATTGATGATTCTTGCCTGAGTCAATTATTAATTACTGTGATGATTAAAAATGGTGATTTTATAATTCTATTGTCCCTTCTGTATTTTTTAGTTGGCATTCTACAGTAAGGAAGATGTTTCTCTTCTCTGTGAATTTGTTTGGCTATTTATTTATACCAGTATAGACTCATAGATTCCTACTTTATTCAATGGGTCATAATTTGTTGTTGATACTATTTATTATGATGCTCAGATTGTCCCATCACATTTGTCATGCTCTTAATTCTCACCCGAGGATACATTTTTATCAACTTTGGAGACAGGGAAAAGGGAAGAGAGAGAGAGAGAGAGAGAGAGAGAGAGAGAGAGAGAGAGAGAGAGAGAGAGAGAGAGAGAGAGAGAGATCAACATGAGAAACACCAATCGGTTGCCTCCCTTATGCATCCAGACAAGAGACTGAATCTGCAACCTGGATATGTGCCCCAATCAGGAATCGAACCTGCAATCTTTCCATGCACAGGACGATGCTTCAATCAACTGAGCCACACTGACTAGGGCTTGTTATTCTCTTAAATTATCTGAGCTAACTGTTGAATTCAGGAATTCTTGAACACTATCCTGCAGAAGCAGCACAGAAATAAAGGCTACAATCCCATCCCCATCCCCAGGATCTCATCCAAGGTGAAGAGCTACCTCATGATCTTCCTGGTTGGCGGAGGCAGAGGAAGCCTGGAGAGCTCTCATGTGAAGGCTGCCTGGGCCACATTGGATCACAATGACACCATTGTCTCATAAGCCTCTTAAAGTACCAGCCTCTAGGTGTGGATGTTAACTGTTTTTCCAATAGTGCTAATAGACGGGTAATCTATCATTGCCTGGCTTCTCGACAATGCCTCTGAAGGAAGACTGGCCAGGTTAGCAAATTAGTCTGTGGGTATGATCCTAAAGGGTATTAACGAATCTGTGCATAGAATAAGCCCAAAAGTTAATGACCTTGATGTCATTATGCCCTTCCCTACCTGTTGAGTTACATTTGAACATCTTATTACTAAGTTGGTGCTTTAATAACATGCAGTGGAGATAAAATCTCCTGATTACATGAAAAGTGTACATTGCAAGACAGGTAATTAAAGCCAGAGTATATTAAACCTTCAGCACTACAGACATCGACAATGGCTGTCTACTGTGGTTACTGAAATTGTTTCCTTTACTAGAATGTAGGCTTCATGAGAGCTGGAGCTTCATTTTGTTTATTGTTCCATTTCCTGTTTGAATATGCCTGTCTCATAGTAGGTGTTCAAAAAATATTAGTTGAGCCATAGCCGGTTTGGCTCAGTGGATAGAGAGTAGGCCTGCAAACTGAAGGTACCAGGTTCGATTCTGGACAAGGGCATATACCTTGGTTGTGGGCACATCCCCAGTAGGAGGTGTGCAGCAGGCAGCTGATCAATGTTTCTCTCTCATCGATGTTTCTAACTCTCTATCCCTCTCTCTTCCTCTCTTTAAAAATCAATAATATATATATATATATATATATATATATATATATATATATATATATATATGTTGAATACTTACCTGGCAAGGGAAATACCATGGTCAGAAAGGTGGTCTTTCCAGAGCAAGGTTTATCCATTGCACTCCAGATGTGCTGACCCCGGTGATTTTTCCCAAAAAAGTGGGAAATGCAACTGCATCATTTTTTCACGCTCTCCCCTGGGGGAAAAAATGTTGAGCATATCAAAATGTTTGGTGGCGTACTATAAGGAAATTAAAAATTATTAAATGAGCCCTGGCCAGGCAGCTCAGTTGGTTAGAGCAACGTCAGAAGACACCAAGGTTGCAGGTTCGATCCCACATCAAAGTGAGACAAGAACTATTTACATAGCCAACAGGTTACCTCAGAATGGCCTTTACTCACCTCAGAAATTTATGGATAACTGAATCGTTTTCATTAAGTACACTGTGTGGAATTTTGTTCCAAAGGAAAAAAAAAAAAAGTTGAAATAATTGGAAAACTGGAACAGTGCAAAAACACTTGGGAAACTGGAATACGGTTCAGATAGTAGGAGAATGCATATAATTGTTCAGGCACCTTTAGGTGGAAGTTTTTATTTGCTAAAGGAGCTGAGTCATCAATTCTCCACTAAATTTACAGGAGGACAAATAGAAGAAACACACACCAGAATTCATGTAAATGAATTTGCTTGGAAAGGGCTAAGAACTCTGTGCATGGCCACCTAGAGGTGACATCTAAAGAGTCTGGGGTAATAGATGTCTACTTGAAGCCAGGACTGCCTTGTAGGAATGGGAAGAAAGCCAGGGTAATAAAACTAATAAAAATCTCAACTGAGAAGCCTATAACATTGGCTGTTGGTGATGTAAGCATGGTACACACGATACACATGTTGGATGGGAATCATGGGTAAAAAAGGAAGACAAGCTGCAAGAAACAGTGACTATGCAATAACTCGATTTAAATTTCTCTCCCAGTTGCTTTTTGTTCCTGGTCATTTGTATTATATTAGATTAGCTACCCTTGTACAGTATTTTTTAAAATAAGAATGTGTGCGTTATCACACCCCAATTATATCAGTTCTACTGTTTGTTTTCTCAACAAACACTGTATGACTTTATACAATATTTGATTTACTTCCCTGCCTATTCCGATAGTCTACTGGATAGATCTGCATATGTTACAGATTACAGAACAAACCCACACTCTATATTGAGACATTAGTAAAAACCATCAGTTAAGAATTAAAACTTTTCCTTATTGGACACTTCTGGGTTTCATGGATCCTATTTTCTAATGGCAGAAGATATATATCTGCTTGGAAATGGCCAGATGTTTGGAAACTGGACATTAGCACCTTGGTCTTCACAGTCATGGTTATTATAGTCACTGTAAAGATGGCTTTTAGAAATTCATTTTTTTTATGGATCAACCATCTTGTACTTGGAGATCTATTATATTCCATTTTGTATTTTTTGTTTGTTTGTTTTATGAAGGGATTCTCTGGCCATTTGGGGGTTCCCAGAATATGCACTTTGTATTTTTTCAGTTCCTATCAGTGGTTGTTTGGTTTGCTATATCCTCATGGTTGTTACATTTCTATTTCTTGATATTGTGAAGCAAGTATTGAACAGACAGCTCCATCCTACAGCTTACTGCCCTGGTTGGGTAGCTCAGTTGGTTGGAGCATCATTCCAATATGCCAAGGTTGTGGGTTTGATCCCTGGTCAGGGCACATATAGGAAGTAACCAATGAGCATGCATGGGTGGAGCAGCAACCCGATGTTTCTCTCTCTCTCTAAATTAAAAAATAAAAATGTTGAAAAAGAAAAGGCATAGTTACTGAAACAAATTCAAGTATCAAGTGCCTGGACTCCACACACAGGTGATAATTGTTGTTTAGTTGTCACCCTGGTCAAGAATAACACCCTTGACCCCAACATCTTGAGGAGCTAAAGTTCTGAGCATGAAAGGACTAGAATACCTTTTCTGTAACCTGTGCCACTTGCTCTTGGTAGATTCTCATATGTGACCTTACTGGGGATTGAACCTGAAACTTTGGTATATGGGGACAACGGTCTAACCAACTGAGCTACCTGGCCAGGGCCCATTTGAGTTTTCTTGACTGGATAAATCAGACTGAGAAAATGAATTGCTGGAAGCATCGAGAGACAGTTCCTAAAATGAAACCGACTAGAACTTCCCATTGGCAGACGGACAGCTCCATGGCAGAGCTCTTAGACCTGAAAGTTTATGTACAAGGCCATTTCCTTGGAAGGGTATAATGTCGTTAGCTTTTCTGGGACTATCAGAAAGGTCATTTAGCACGATTACCATTGACATACTAAAACTAGGATGTAGAAAAAATATATAACTTGATCCATCAGTATTACCAATCTCATTTTGTTCTCCAACCCCTGTCTTCCTCTTATAGTTGAGGGTGTGTGTAGGGCATTTCATTTTGCTGACCTCCCTTCTACAAACTCTTGTGGGTTCAGCAGGTTGAAATCACACTGACATGAGAAATTTCATGGACTTTGCTCTTAAAGCAGCAGTTCTGTTGGTCATGAATCTACGTTTCTATTTAATGAAATCAAGTGTAGCTTGATGGGACTTCTAGAAAGAAAGCTTACATAGCGGTAAAGAGAGTATGATCCCTGATGGAACAAATGGTCAGTGAAGAGCAGGTGATGCGACAGGCACCTGGGAAAAGCATGTAATTTCCAAGTAGGAAGGGGACAGATCAGAAGGGACATAAGCCATTATGTCTTTCCTGTTTTCTCCACATACACACTAAAGTAAGGAGGTTGGGATAATTCTAGCATTAATTGTGACAAGCCCTGTTCTTTTGGTGCGCATTAAATTTATATAGAGTAGGGGTGTCGAACTCAATCAGAGAAGGGGCCAAAATCTAAAATCCAGCCTAAATCGCGGGCCGAATGGTTTACTGAACAGTCATAAACTGTCATTGTGATGGAAACGCAGCGGAGTGCAGTGATGACAGCACGGTGCGGGCCACATTGCAAGGCCTGGCGGGACGGATTTGGCCCTCGGGCTGTGTGTTTGACACATGTGATTATAGAGGATATAACTTATTACATTGATAAGATGTCATAAGAGGGGTAGAAGAAGACTGTTCAACAGCCTTCCCTCCGCCTAAAATAGCTTTGTACATTACTGTTAACAGAGCTTATGGGGCTATAGCTAAAATAATCATATATCTCACAAACTGAAAATTTTCTACACTTCTCATAGACAAACTCAGGGACATACAATTACTTTCAATGAGCTCATTAATAAAAGATTCAGATCACTTAAATATTAAAAGTAAGTTTTGAATTAGGGTCAAACTGGTTATCTTTTCTTTTTCAATTCTGGGCGGTTTTTATAATAATCCATAATGGAACTGATCCAGAGCCATGGGAGGGAAAAAGTTCCTGCTTCTTTTTTCTTTTGCCTTTTAATCATTAAGTGAGCTTTGGCCAAATGATTCAGGAGGTGGTTTGCCAAGTAAAGGCCAACCCTTCTGAAATTTGTCCCCAGCTTTTCCTAGACCTAGATAAATGCCCAAAGGCATAATATCTTCTATGACTCTCCTAACATCACTGATCAACTTGGAAAACATTCTAAGAGGTGAACCAAGCTGTGTGCATGTTCTCCCATGAAGGACGCTGGCAGAGGAACTGAGATCTCTACTTTAAGAGTGAAGGCCATTGTATGTCAACTATACTTTAATTTTTTTTTTAAATGCCATGGCTACTTAGAAAATCTGGAAACACTAAAGAAAATATTACATGAATTTGGTTTGTATGGGATCTTCAGTTTCCCATATGAAATAAAATTAAAGCTAAAAGAAAAAGAGTGAAGGCCATAGTCCATTCACAAATGTTCCTATTGTTTCACCCTAGTGAACTTTTACCCATAAAAGTCTTTCTTTGAACAGTCTGATCAAAAACAAGGTCTTTAAATTTTTTTTTTTAGATTGTTTACTTACAGTTAAATCTTTAGACAGAAGGCCAACTCCCTGAGGTTTCAAATAGGTTAACTTTGGACTGAAGAGATTTGTTTAAAACTCCGCATCTTTCAAACAGACACGTGCATGATGCCAGTAAACACGGCTTTATCTGCTCTTCTGAAGTATTTCCTATCTCCCAGAGGACACCTCAGGGCTGTACTTAAGAGAACAATGACTGATCTTTGCCCTGACCTGAAGTGAGGAATGCAGCGGGCTGGGTAGTGACCTACAGATTTGGGTTGCAATGGTTAGAGCTGCAGGTGGAAAAAAATAATAGGGGAAGGAAGTAGTGCGCATTCAGTGTGCCTCCATATTCCTATATTAATTTGGAGCCTTCTTGTGATTCTCGCTCATGTTTATCCACTGCTTTTTTAATACAGGGTGGATGCTGGAGTTATAAAGGAAAAATAATTACTAGCTTCACATTCTTGGAGAAGAATCTGAACCAGGCCCTTTGGAGCTGCATGCCCTGGATTCTACCCACGTAGACCCTCATCTCTGTGACCTCCTGGAGAAGCATTTCCTGATGAGGTGAAACTCATCAAGGCTGGGCTGGGTGAGTGTCTCTGCAAGGCTCACCCTTAAGCAGGACTAGGAGCCCTTGGAGCCCAGGTCCCTCTGCATTCCCCTGGAGTCTAGCTTTTACCCGAGCCTCTACTAGCCATTCTTTTAACCTGAAGCCCTCTCCCATGCATTGGACCAAATGAACCAATAAAAGCTTTTTGCAGGAAAAAAAAAAAGTCTCATTCTTACATTTAGGGATATTCCTTCCCTGTGCTTCCCCAAGAAAACTAACCCCGTTCTCCAACGCAGACGCACATTTTGTTCAAGTACTTCTTCAGTAGTTGAGGGCTCTTAAAAAAGAATCAGAACTTTTTAGGGAGACCAGCTGGGTGTTAGAACTAAGAGAAGATCCTTCTGTAAAATTATGTTTGAAAATGATTATTTTTTTACTTCAAACTGTTGGTAAAATAGGCAGTTCGGTTTTTGTAATGCCACACTTGGAGTTCAGCAATGTTTCCAGAACGCCTGCGTATTTGGAAAACAGTTCAGGGACTAGATATAAATGAATCAATAGCCATCAAAGGCACATGCACTTTGCTCCTTAGGAGGTTTAAGTGCCCTCACACAGACACTCAATCGTGTTTAAAATAAAGAGACTAAGTGTACTGAGCAGAGATACTGATAGCAGACTATTCAGATGATCTAGGAAACAATGCAACTTGGCTGGAGCTATTTGGGTCTAGTAATAATTAATGTCGTTTTTAAACATTCGTTTAAAATCTTGCTTGGCGTTGACTTGTATTGACATAACCTTCAAACACGTGGTATCTACAGAACGTGTGAAGTGCAATTAACAAGTTTTGCTTGAAAAAGTTTGTGTTTGGTTTGGTTTTTGTTGCAAAACCAGGGCTAAGAAGATGGCTGATGAAGAGCATATTCGGCACTGCATGCTTTACGAGTTCCAATTAGGAAGAAAAGCAAGTGAGGCTGCAAAAATCATCTGTAGTGCTCTTGGTCAAGATGCAGTTAGCGCCAGAAAATGCCAGCGTTGGTTTGAGAAATTTCGCGAGGGAAATTTTTCGTTAGATGACAAGAGTGGTCGAGGCCGTGTGTCCAATTTTGATCAAGAAGCTCTTCAAGCTCTTTTGGTGCAAAATCCTCAAATTACCCAACAAGAGCTTGCAACAACTTTAAATTGTTCACAAAAAACAATTTCCAATCAACTGCGTGCACTTGGCAAAGTCCAAAAGTTTGGAAAATGGGTTCCTCATGAGTTGACCGACAACAACTGTAATCAAAGAGTCACAATTTGCTGTTCGCTCCTCTCTCGTCAAAACCATTTGCCGTTTTTAGAGCAAATTGTTACCGGAGATGAAGAATGGGTGCTGTATGTTAATTTGAAAAGGCGGCCTCAATGGTTGGACAAAAATGAGGCTCCGCAGCCCACGCCAAAACCTGACTTGCATGCGAAAAAAGTGATGTTGTGTGTTTGGTGGAATTTTAAAGGAATTCTTCATTATGAACTTTTACCATCTAACCAAACCATTACAAGTTCAGTGTATAGTGCCCAATTGGAAAGGTTAGCCCAAGCTTTAAGAGAAAAAGAACCTGCGCTGATTAATCGGAAGGGTGTAATTCTTCACCACGATAACGCACAACCGCATACTGCAAGAATCACTGCTGAAAAACTGCGCCAGTTGGAATGGGAAGTTCTCCCTCAACCTGCATATTCTCCTGATATTGCCCCTTCCGATTACCATTTGTTTCGTTCTTTGCAAAACTTTCTTCTTGGAAAAAAATTTAATAATGAAGAATGCCTCAAAAATGCATTGACCGAATTTTTCGCATCAAAATCACTAGAATTTTACAACAGAGGGATTAAAATGCTTCCTGAGCGTTGGGCACAAGTAGTAGAAAACAATGGCAACTATATTGTTGATTAAATTTTGTTGTATTGTTTAAATAAATTCGATTTAAAAAAGTATTAGAAAACGACATTAATTATAGAACTTATTAAGGTCTGCTGGGCTCTATTCTATGTAGTAGGTATGAATATTAACCCTAATTTTCAGTTGAGAAAACTAAGATATAGATTAAGTAACCTTATATGCCCTAATTGACAGAAGCAAGTTCAAACCCACCTCTATCAATACCTAAGTCTTTTTTTTAAAAAATATATTTTATTGATTTTTGTACAGAGAGGGAGAGAGTTAGAGAGTTAGAAACATCAATGAGAGAGAGTCATCGATCAGCTGCCTCTTGCACACCCCCTACTGGGGATATGCCCGCAACCAAGATACATGCCCTTGACGGGAATCGAACCCAGGGCCCTTCAGTCCCCAAGCCTACGCTCTATCCATTGAGCCAAACCGGTCCCAGCAATACTTAAGTCTTAACTATTTAGCTTTATTGCCCTATATTCCAATTCTAATGTTTTGCTGATTTAAAAAAAAACACACAAATCTGTACTTTTAAAAATATATATTTTTTATTAATTTTTTACAGAGAGGAAGGGAGAAAGATAGAAACATCGATCAGCTGCCTCCTGCACACCTTCTACTGGGGATGTGCCTGCAACTAAGGTACATGTTCTTGACTGGAATGGAATCAGTCTGCAGGCCAATGCTCTCTATCCACTGAGCCAAACCTGTAAGGGCCAAATCTGTACTTCTTATTGCCTGATAAAGAGAACAGGAAACAATGTAATATGTTTTAGGACATTTTAAGTCTACTATGTATAAATTCAAAAAGGAAGCTTCAAGCCCTGGCCAGGTAGCTTAGTTGGTTAGAGCATCATCACCATATACCAAGGTTGTGGGTTCAATCCCTGGTTGATTCTTTGACACATACAAGAATCAATCAAGGAATGCATACATAAGTAGAACAACAAATTAATGTATCTCTCTCTCCTCCCCCCTTCCTCTCTCTCAAAAAATAAATCAATTTTTTTTAAAAGAGTAAACTTCAAATATTTAGAAATTTCATTCATACGGGGAGGGGGAGTAAGTTAATAGTGTGAGTACACGAAGCAGAGTTTACTCTTGTATTATTACTTATTAACCAGAGGTCCACTGCATGAAATTCGTGCACGGGGGAGGGAAGGAGTCTTCAGCCCGGCCTACATCCTCTCGCAGCCCGGGAGCCCTCGGGGGAGTGGGCCTACGCTGGCTGTCAGACACTCTCAGCACTGCTGTGAGGGCGGGAGAGGTTCCCACTACTGCTGTTGCGCTTACCAGCCATGAGCCCGGCTCAAGGCTTGTGGCTGAGTGGCACCCCCCCCCCCCCCCCCCCCCGTGGGAGGACGGGTAGGAGGTAGCTGATCAATGATTCTTTTTTTATGCTAAGTGAAATAAGCCAGGCAGAGAAAGATAAATATCACACGATCTCAATCATTTATGAAATATAATGAACAACATAAATGGATGAACAAATATAGATCCAGAGACAGAGAAACATCAATCAGAACATCAAACCTCAGGGAAGGCAGGGGACAGTGGGGATTAGGGGGAGAGATCAACCAAAGGGCTTATTTGCATGCATATAAGCCTAATCAATGGACACAGACAACAGGGGGGTAGGGGCATGAATGGGAGGTGGGGGGTAATGAGGGAATAAGACACATATGTAATACCTTAATCAATAAAAAACAATTTTTTAAAATAAAAGATTATATATATATATTTTTTTTTTTTTTAATTTTTTTACAGCCGAAACCGGTTTGGCTCAGTGGATAGAGCGTCAGCCTACGGACTGAAAGGTCCCGGGTTCGATTCCAGTCAAGGGCATGTACCCTGGTTTCGGGCACATCCCCAGTAGGGGGTGTGCAAGAGGCAGCTGATCGATGTTTCTCTCTCATCGATGTTTCTAACTCTCTATCCCTCTCTCTTCCTCTCTGTAAAAAATCAATAAAATATACTTTAAAAAAAATTTTTACAGAGAAGAAGGGAGAGAGATAGAGAGTTAGAAACATCAATTAGCTGCCTCCTGCACACCCACTACTGGGGATGTGCCCGCAACCAAGGCACATGCCCTTGACCAGAATCAAACACAGGATCCTTCAGTCCACAGGCTGACGCGCTATCCCACTGAGCCAAACCAGTTAGGGCTCAATGATTCTTTTCTTTGATGTTTCTTTCTCTCTCTCCCCCTCTCGCTTCCTCTCTGAAATCAATAAAAATATATTTAAAAAACAACCACCAAAAAAACCTGAAATTGCTTTCTATACCACACAATTCTCCACGTTATTTACTGAGTTTGGCACAAAATAAGTTTTGGTTATTAAGAAAGATTAAATCTTCTCTTTATGCAAAGATCCGTCCTTGTTAGGAATGTTTAAAAAATATATCACTTCCTCAGGTAAGCCCAAAAGTGGAATTCCAAACAGACTTAGAAATAAGTACACAGTCTTCCAAACTTATTCCTTTAAAGGGGAAGAGGCATTTGGGAAGTGCAGGTTTTGCCATGTTTGTTAAACCATCAGAGACAGTTTAACCTAGTAGTCAAATACATTAGCTTTGGCCTGGCTCAACTCCGGGTTCTACTGCTTGCCAGCTATTTGACTTGGTGCAAATATATCAATGCACAGTGCCTGGCATCTAGTAAGGGCTCTAAAAATAAGAGCAACTACTGTGTATTAAGCATCATTTTATGTTACCACTACATGAAGACTTAGCATGCTGCCCCTTTCTTCCTAACGATGCTATAAGGGTGGCACTTTTATTTTCCCCAAATCACAGATGTGAAAAATCACAGAAAGATTAGGCAATTGGCTTAACTTAATAATTAACGAAAGAATATATACCAAGTCTGTGTCCAGCCCAGGATCTCAAACAAAATTCTATCCTGCCAATTCTTGGCATATAAACGGAACCCTCACTAAGTCTGATCACTTTACAAGTCTGAGTAGGAAGGAGACTGACCACCAGCCAGTCAGGGAATTTCCAGAGAGTCCATGGTATATGGCCTTACCTTGGTCATTCACCAGGGTGAGGTTCTGGTCCTCAGTCCTCTAGGCTCAGAAATCCAATCTATAAACACACAGATGGTGGATTCAGCTCCCACAGTCACCTCAAGCTCCCACAGACTGGTATTCAAAACCAGGCTACCAGTTATGACTCATAATACAATTTATGAATAGAAATAGAAAGAAATATAATGGCCAAGGGCCAACATATTCACGTCCTGTGACCAGCACTTATTAATCAGATGGTAAGAGTTAGTCTCTTGCAGAGCATGGAATAAGAAACAAGGGCGTCTGTTTATGCTTTGAATGCTTGATAGAGGCAGACTCAACCACCTCCAAAGCAGCCTTTCACCTGCCTCCAGCGCTGAACAGGCCCGTGCAACCTCTGACCTACAAACTCTTGGTTAAACACCGGATTTGTCTCCCAGCTCCTCTTTCTCTTTACATTTTCAGGGCTGACCAGCTGTGGCTCAAATATGTTCTTTCTTGAGCTTAAAATAATTTTCCCCCCAGGTTACAGCATATTTCTTTTCCATGAAGATGTTGACAATTCACTTTGATCCGTTATGTATTGGCTTTAAGGTTTACGTGTAAAAGGGCAACTTTAACTTCAGGTTCTCGGAGGGGAGCCCTCTCCCGGAGGCCCCGAAGTACTGGCAGTGGCAGAAGGAGACAAACCCCGCTGGGGGGACTGCCTCCCCCTCTCTGAAGGTGCTGCTCAGGGGCTCTCCGCCTTCAGAAACAGAGACTGTGCCATGGTCTTCGCCCATCTACAGAAGAGGAGAGGCAACACTGCGTCTGTGGCTCCGGAGACACGCTGCTCCGAGAGAGATTTGTGTGCCTGCGGACGCCCTGGCAGCCGGGAGGAAATCCGCGCACACGGTGTGAAGTGGTTTTTCTTGGCTCTCTTCTCTGGGCCCAGGAGCCACAGCACCAGCAGTGGTTCCTCTCTCCTGCAGAGCTTCCAGATGCCTGGGAGTCTCCTGCTGATAACAGCATGGAATGCTTGGAACTAGTAAGAGAAAAAGTTGGAAGCCCTCCCAGTTAGAGCAGCCAAGACTTAGCGGAGGGCAGTTACCTCCGGAACCTTTGGGCCCGGGGTCACTGCACAGAAGGTCCAGGGATGGGTGCCTCACTGCCTCCGGGTGTACCTGACAGCCACGCACAGCGGACCACAGGGAAAGAAAAGTGTGACAAACCCCTCTCCTCTCCTGCAGGGAGCGCTTGACCCATCTTCAGGGGACATGCAGGAGGAGGAGGGTCCTGGGAGCAGGAGGAGGAGGGTCCTGGGAACAGGAGGAAGAGGGTCCTGGGAGCAGAATTTCTCCAGCTGCCACACTGGGAAGGGACAAGAACTGAGCCCTCCCTTTCGAGGCTTACCTTTCCTAGTTCCCGTATGCAGGATGGAAAGAATCTCAGGGACACTGGGTGGAGCCGATTATGCCCGCAGCCTCTCCCTGGAAGCTCTCTGGATGACCCTTGGAGAGAAGGGTAGAGCTGATCAGGGACTCAGGCTTTGGTTACTGATTCTCCTCACTGAAGACCAACCAGAGATCCAGATTGTCAAGTCCACTCATTCAAAATGTCACTTTTACCACACCCTTCCTCTCTCCAACAGTCATCCATTAAATGATGCTCCTACTAATGTTCAGGGGTCAACCAAGTAGGCAGCCGTGGCCGCTTTATGACTCCAGATTCTTGCAAAAGGCTTGTTTTCTGAACATTCCTTTCTGTGCACTCCCCTTTTGATTGGCCCTACCCATTGAGGTCGATTCCAGATCTTCCTCCTGTATCTTTGGCTTGGCTCAAGCCTCTACCCTCTCCACTGCAGAGTCTGAAAGCAGGGAGATGGCCAAAATAGGCAGCAGGGAAGAGTGCAGGCATTCCTAGTACATCTGCTCAGTCTCTCAGCAATCCCGATGTCAGCGGACCTCTCAAGTTTACAGGCCTGGGCCCGGGACAGAGGCTCCCCTTGCTCACCCACTGGGAGACACGGGTGGGCAGGGTCTCTCGGAGGCTGTGTGCTGAGTGCTGCCGGTAGGAGACACTGACGTTAATGTGGGTGTTCTCCAATGGTCTGTTCTGGGTACAGTTCCTCGGGGCTGTTCCCTAGCGCCATTGGCCATTTGCCCTCTCTCTTGTCATTGGCCCTCAGGGGCATTGCCTTTCATGGCTGCAGTTATTGTTGTGAGAGCGGGCACGCAGAGGAAAGACTTCCACAAAGCCAGCCACCACTCTGGCCAGGCCTGCTTGACTGATTCCAAGGTTTGTTGAGCCTGGCATGTGCTGTGTGCCGCTCGACCACGTGGAGGGAAATGAAGATACGAAAACAGGTTCTCTCCTCCAGGAAGCGGCCTTCTAATGGAGACACAAATCAGTGTAATTAAAGGTGAGGACTGAAGGGCAGGCAGGCGGCAGGTACACTCTCTAAACCTAGAAAAGTTTAAGAGCGTTTTCATCTATCCAGCCACCAGACAGACGCCTGCAGATCTATCTCCTAGGGCACTCTGATTCTATTTTTTGCCTAAGAAGTCAGCACCAAGGTTAAAAAAACAACACTGTCCTAGTTGGTTTGGCTCAGTGGAGAGAACATCAACCTATGGGCTGAAAGGTCCTGGGTTCGATTCTGGTCAAGAGCACATGCCTGGGTTGTGAGCTGGATCTTCAATAGGGGGCATGCAGGAGGCAGCCAATCAATGGTTCTCTCTCATCATTAATGCTCCTCTCTCTCTCTCTCTCTCTCTCTCTCTCTCTCTCCCTTTCCCTTCCTCTCTGAAATCAATAAAAATATATTTTAAAAAAATACTTATAAATGCCCTATCCAGTGTGGTTCAGTTAGTTGGAACGTTGTCCCATACACCAAAAGGTGACGGGTTCGATCCCTGCGCAGAAGGCAACTGATTGATGTTTCTCTCACACATCGATCTTTCTCTCCCACCTCCCTCCTTCCTCTCTCCAAAATCAATTAAAAAACATGCACGGGACCTATGTAAAACTTTCAACAATAAAGATTTTTTTAAAAACGACACGCACATACAGAACAATGATAACATATTAAGCACCATAAGAACTTTGTAATGTCCTATATGCAAATAACAGGAACTTAGTATGTTATAACTCTCTTTTAAACGGATCTATTTTAAAATAAGAAAGTTGGTTAACTGTCATTCATTTCCATTTCATAGCAAGAGAAACAGAAATTACACATACCTCCCCTGTTCCTTAGGTCAACTGACCAGAGAACAGACAGGGTTCAGTACCAAGAATAAAGTTGACTCATACTCAGGCTCTCTCTCCTTTTAGAACACACTGAAGAGTTGGAATGGGATAACATTCATTCTCATAGAGAAACAGATGAAAGTTGCCAAGGGAGAGAAGGTAGGGAGGGAGCAGGGAAAATGAGGTGAAGGAATAGGAGGCAGTGGCTATTGCACTGCTTTTGACAAAGCCCTTAGTCCCAGAAGAAAAGGCTGTTCAAGAAAGATTATATTTTCCAGCCAGAATGATGGGGATGCATAGAAATCACATTATGTCCTGGGGGATGAAATTAAGTCTTGTGACAACTTGAAGAAATATATATTTGTAGCCTGGTACCAGTCCAAGGACCACAGGACTAAAAACATAAAAATCTTACCTAATAAAAGAGAGACATGCAAATTAACCATCACTCTGCTACGCCCACAGCCAATCAGAGTGAGTATGCACATTAACCCAACAAAGATGCAGGATAATTTGCATAAGCGGGCACAGAAGCCTGCTATCAAGGGAAGGGGAAGGAGAAGGGGGGTGGCGGAGGGAGCTACTGGAGGGGTGCTCCAGACAGAAGCCAGGACTTGCTGGCTCCAGGCGGCAGGGGAGCAGGGACTTGCCAGCTCCCAGGTGGCTCAGGTGGGGAGCGGGACTTCATGGTTCTAGGGCGGCTGGGAGTGAAGCCAGGGGCCTATTCTTGCATGAATATCATGCAACAGGCCTCTAGTAAATCACTAAGAATATAGGCTCTGTCTAATGCGTAGAATCGGTAGTAACAAGAGGAAGAGGACCTGCCCACGGCAGGAATCTCATTGGTGCCACAGAGTAATCTTCGTCAAGAGGTGAGAACCTAAAACCCAGGAGATGGACCAAGGTACGTGAAAGACCTGATGGGACAGGCATCACACTTTTTCCGTAAGTGCATTGTCAAAACGACGACACCAAGGAAAATAGGACACAGGAAGCTCTCTCGGCTTTCTGGGTTAAAATGCCATTTCACCCTCCAGGGAATTCTTCGAGCCATTTTTTGTATCATTACCCTTCCACTACTTATAACTGTGACTTGCCTTAACCTACTATTGAAATATCCGTGCTTGCTTTTATATAAACTACAAACTACTTGAGGGTAACGATCATATCCCTGTACAGGCGCACCTCGGATACTGCAGGTCCAGTTCCCAGCCACCACAATAAAGCAAGTATCACAGTTAGGCTAAGTTTGTTGTTGTTTTTTTGCTGGTGGAGCGCCTTGCCTACAGTTTATAAAAAATACAATCTCTGTAAAGCTCAATGAAGCACAGCACAAAACAAGGTATGCCTTTACCTTTGTTGGCAACTAGTCTATTGCCTTAGGAAATATTGCTTGTTTGGCAGGCACCGGTTTGGCTCAGTGGATAGAGCGTCAGCCTGTGGACTGAAAGGTCCCGGGTTCAATTCCGGTCAGGAGCATGTACCTTGGTTGCGGGCACATCCCCAGTGGGGGTTGTGCAAGAGGCAGCTGGTCGATGATTCTCTCATTGACGTTTCTAACTCTCTATCCCTCTCTCTTCCTCTCTGTGAAAAATCAATAAAATATATATTTAAAAAAATATTGCTTGTTTTGATGTTTGAGATGCATTGGACTTGAAAGTCAACAGTCACAAGGGCTGGCAAATCCATAGATCTGGTCACGAATTTCCATGAGGCAAGGCAACATTTGGCAATTGCAAGGGCATTTGAAAAGAGTGTCAGATTTTGCAATAGCTCTGCAAATAAGATAGATTTTCTGGAGTGGCAGGGTTAGCAGAAAAACATGTTTTGAGTGGTAAACAGTTACCTGTGTTCTCACCTTTATAAATCATGCAGGACATAATCTCTGCCAGATTTAAACAGGAAGGACTGACATAAATAAGTTTTCTTAGCATTACACTAGCATTATGCTATGTATTGTACATACAGAATATTTTAAAATGTAAGATACTATTACTACCCTTAAGCTTCAAATCTTTTTTCTTTTTTTTTTTTTTTTTACAGAGAGGAAGTGAGAGGGAGAGAGTTAGAAACATCGATGAGAGAAACATTGATCAGCTGCTTCCTGCACACTCCCTACTGAGGGTGTGCCGGCAACCAAGGTACATGCCCTTGACTGGAATCGAACCTGGGACCCTTCAGTCCGCTAACACTCTATCCACTGAGCCAAACCTGTCTGGGCAAGTTTAAAATCTTAATAGGAAGTCAATGTGTATATACATAAAATTAAGCAGAGAGCAATATGAGTGTTACATTTACAAATTAAATACTACAATAATGGTGCTAGTAGAAGGTGTCCTAAAGATGGTGGCCTTCAGGTAGGTCTTGGGAGTCTCCCAATTTTTGTAGGTCTTTCTCCTGTAAAACTTGACAAAGTCCTCTCTCCTGTGGACATATGAAATATAATAGTTTGCTGTTTTAATTACACCCCCTTCCAACCATTAGTATTTCAAGATAGCATATCATATACCTACTGTGAAAATATGCTTAGCTTTTTTTTAAATATATTTATTTTTTACAGAGAGGAAGGAAGAGAGATAGAAAGCTAGAAACATCGATGAGAGAGAAACATCGACCAGCTGCCTCTTGCACACCCCCTACCGGGGATGTGCCCACAACCAAAGTACATGCCCTAGACCGGAATCAAACCTGGGACCCTTCAGTCCGCAGACTGACACTCTACCGCTGAGCCAAACCGGTTTCAGCATGTGCTTAGCTCTTAACCTCATTATTCCTCTAGCCTTTGAGCTGAATCAATAACCCCAATTTGTAGATTAAGCTTCACTCCTATTCAAAAATTCAAATTCCTCCTGCTACAAAAAGACTAGATTAGGTGATTATTTCTAAGAGTCCATCTCAAAAGCAATCTAGCTTTAGGGGGATCCTGCCTAATACTTCTATTCCCCCAGAACTAGATTTCCTGCTGATAACTTGTCCTGCCATCAATAGAGTTATAGGTCACAACACTATATCCTTGTCACTGCGACCCCAGGTTTCTATGGCCAACTGTTTGGATGCCAACTTTCTGTGAACTTACACATTTAAATTGTCCAGTGTCTGTTTAGATCAACACCCTGAATCTTGGATTCATCTTGGACTTAAAACTTTCTGCGTGAGCTTCAGGGGATAGTTTGACACCAGAGTCACAGAGAGGACATTGATAACCTGGGAGTCTCTTATTTCAAATGTTTCTGACTATAAGTCAAAAGCAATTAAGGGGGCAGCTCTGTTAGGAACTCACCAACTTGTGATTCAATGAAAGAGGTATTTTGGGAAAAAGGCTTAATACAGCATACAATGGATTAACAGGAAGCCAATGTGTATAAACAGGAAGTCAGTGTGTATAGCAAGGTGACAACCATCAAGACACTATGTGTCTTAGAATTTATGCAGATAGAATGGGGCAATGCCTGCAAACCACCAAGCCACCAGCACATATTAGTTCTCTTCCTTTTACATATATCGATAGATTTTACAGTGCACAGAGTGAACTTTAAACCCTCCCTAAACTTCCTGAATTATTTCCCCCCCGAGCAGTGCCTTGCCCCGTAAAGCAGCACATCTGAAAAATTGCAGGGCTGAGAGTCAGACTCAAGTCTTCAGAAACCACAGCCAATTCTCTTTCCCTCAAACCGCAGGCCCTTCTTTTTGGGCTGTCTTAGATTTAAGTCTGCGATAGCTTGGATTAGAATGCTAACAGTGGGATGGAGATCAAGGAAGGAACGGAGAGATCCTGGGTCTCTGAGCTTCTTAGGGCCTCATCATCTATGCTTATTTGTAAACACACACACACAACATCAATATTTTATTCCAAGATACATATATTTTTGCATTTCAACATCAGAAATTGAGACAGTTGTTTTTTCAGCCGTTTTCACTGCTCAGCTGTTGACATGGTTGCTATTGTTTGCTCATCTGCAAGTCTGGTTGTCATTTCTGGTGGCATCACAGAACTAAAACCCATGGACATTTCAGTCAAAAAACCCCTCAATTGACGCCTGGTAAGACCAAGAAAATACCAGTGTCAAAACTTGCATAATAAATGCCACAAGCTTGGGGGGGGGGGGGGGGAAAGAGACAAATGGTGGCACCCTCCTTAAGGAATGGTGAATCTAGCCTGAAAAGTTCCTAGATTGGATTACTCAAGGTCAGGTATTTCAGAAACATCTTAGAATTTACAAGAAGATATTTTGTAAGAATATATTTGGAGTTGGCAAACTTGTTCCCAAAAGTAATTAGATTACATGAAATATTTTCTTTAAGATCTTAAAGATTTTTTATTTTTAAAAT